GGTCATATGGATCTCTGAAGTTTTCAGATTGAGCATCTGAACACTTTAGGTCTAGCTGTCGAGGTTAGGATCACACATCTGAAACTCCAGATCTTACATTTGAAGTACTTCAGATGTGAGAACCGCAGTTTTTCGGATGTGAGAACCGAAGTACCTCAGATGTAAGAACTGAAGTTTCAGATGTGTGATCCAAACCTCAGCAGCTGGACCTAAAGTGTGCAGATGCTCAATCCGAAAACTTCAGAGATCCATATGACCTAAACTTCGGGTCCCACGCACGAAGTTTTTTTCTCCGTGTATCTTAGAAGAATGAACACAAACTTACTAGGTCCGGCCTAGCGCTTCTGATTGGCCGGTAGTGCGGTTTGGACTCATTAATGGATGTTTATATCTCTGTCAGATAGAGCCAACAAAATTCGGCCCCAAGTATGTTTTGTAATCTTAAAACGTCGTATCTCCGTTGATAACAAGTTTTGAAACATCAGACACCAACAGGGCCGGATTAAGGGGGTGGCCACATGAGCCGCGGCCCATGGCGGCGGCAAATTTTGTAATTTTTTTAAATGTAGGTATAAAAAAAATCAGATTTAGAAAAAAAAAATTACAAACGAGAAAAGGCGACAAAATCTCTTATTTCCCGAGAATAAAGTAATTTCCAATTTTGTCCTCTTTCAGTGATACAAGAGACAGCACTTTTAATTAATAGAGTTAAGAGAGAGACTAAACGCGCAATTTGGCTTAGAACGGCGCGACTGACAATGAGAGAGAAATGATGACGAGGACTTGAGATGAAAAGGAGCCCTCGGCTCGGCGGTCGGCATGTAACACATATTAGCGCCTACAAGACTGCACGAATACTTCACTCATTGCGCCAAACACAGTGCGGTTAGCGTGAAACGCATAACGCCTACAAGACTGCGTGGATACTTCACGCATTGCGTCAAACACAGTGCGTTCAGCAGCGGTCGGCGTGAAACTCAGAGCGCCTACAAAACTGTCGGAATACCTCACGCATTGCGACACGGTGCAGTCTGCGTGGCGCGGCGGCGGCGGAAGTTAAAATCATTAGACCACATTTATGTTTGTTCTTTCATAATTTTTTCGTTCATTTCTTATGAAAAGAAGGCCTTGTTAACACAGAGATAGGTTTACGAAACTTAACTTTCGCGCAAAGTTTGGTAAATTTTTGCTAGTAGTATTGACAGGGCTTTCCCAAAAAATGTGTCAAACACGAATACACGCGTCTCATGCACCCCACCCCCGCTGGCACGTCCACTTGATGGCTTTTATTGATGTTTCAAAATGAATGAGAAGGGGCGGCAAAATACAGGCGGCCCATGGGCGGCAAGTAGGTAAATCCGGCCCTGGAAACCAGAAGGTATTGTCCTTGAGTATTGAAAAAATCATTATGCCAATTTTCAGCATGATGCTTCGAGTACATGGGTTCGAGAACGAATGGGTTGGAGGGAGGGGATTGAAGCAGAAGTTTTAAGGTGCTCAATTCCTAAGGGCTGTGGTTCGACAGAGGGCAGTGGAGGTTCGGTTTCGTAGAGCGCCAGGGAGTGTTATAAAGGGAGTGACACACATGTATTTAGACCATGACCTTATCATTGAGACTCTTAAGGACTCGTCAGAACTCTTTGAGATTTATGATCCTTCCTTTTTTTTTAACTTCAGCCTTATATAATCGGTTTCCTGTTTTTCTAATTTTATTTTTGGGTGCTATAGAATTTTGGTGTTTACAGTCTCCTTTTGATTTAATCTTGTTGTTGTTGGGGACAAGCTCCACGGGAAGTTTTCATCAGATTTGTCCCAGATTCGAATCCCGGGAATAAAACTTCGGGGATTTATCGTAGCTCTCGTCCCCACGAGACGGGACGCTCGCGTTCCTGCGACAAGTTTGCGGGGACTGATAGATTAGTAAAAATCTAGTATTTATCCGGCATTAAGATATAATTAAACACGACAAACAATTAAACAAGTTATTTTAATTGAACAAACACGAACAATCGGGTGAACAATGAAATATCACACAATTTGCTTTCACTTCCTCTTCCTTTCTCAGTTCGTCAGCTTGGATCTCTACGAGAAATACATGGGTTCTACTTCGCACTGAAGATACCTACTGCCATCAATACTGAGTTGGTGATTATTTTTTCCAACTTCGCAAGTGAAACTTTTCCCTGTGACAAATCCAATAGAAACGTCCCGTGGAGATAAGGTACTACTTTTCTGACAGTGCTTATTACGCGGTTTGTAAACTTGACCAAACGCATTATGAACATTGATGTAAATATGGTGCTGGTTATTAGATTTCCCGGGGATCATAAGTAATCAGGAACTCTCACTTATCATGTTTCCTGGGCGAACTTTTTGTGAGCTTTGAAGACGCACGAGTCATGGAATGTTGCACTGTTACCAGTGTTACCCCTTACTCCAGAGCATGCAGCAGGCTCAACTCGCACTGAAAAAAAGTCTCTCAGATCTATACCACCGTGCTAAGGAAGAACGCTGTATGAGCCTTCAGGCGTTTTACTGGGAAAATCTTCAGTGTTTTTCTTTAAATTTTTCAGCCGATTTTGTTCGCAATTTAATCTAACACATCTGAACAATTCGAGAGAAAATAAGCATAACTTTCCTCAAAAATACATGTTTTATCCGGGAAAATTTGGCAACCATCGAATGTTCATAGAGCATTTTTCCTCAGCATGGCGGTATAGTGTAGACTCGTAAAAAATTTGACAAGAAAAAGTACCCATTATGATTCAATCGAGTTTTTGCTCAAATCAAAAGGGAATCCGCTTAAATCGAGAGGCTTCGCTCTCGATTGAAACAAAAATCCGATTGATTCAAGAGTCTTGTCAAGTTTTTTAAGAGCCTGGGCTCTGAATCCAGGAGACTTTTTTTCTAGTGCGTGTCCGATGATATATTAATTGATGGATTCTATTGGTTGATATACTGTACGAAGCGGCACCATTTGTTGTGAAAGATCCGAGACAAAATAAAAATAAAAAGTAAAAATGGCTCATTCCAACGAAGGAATAAAATTTGCATTTGGTGATAGGAAGTAGAGAATCAATAGGAGCAAAGAGAGAGGAGCATAAATTTCGTCTCCTTTCATTCTCCCGTCAGAGAGCGCCACTGCATAGGATTCCGTAGCCAAGAAGCGTAGAAAGGGCGTTATGGTGATATTCCGTTCTCTGAATTACTTTTACGGTAGCTACCTCATCCCAAGCTCTGAGCTCGGGCCCGGCTCGGATCTCTGTCGGATGCACCGTTCGAGGAAATAGTCGATCCTTATTCAAATAAGGATACGAGCGAGCATAATGTAAGTAAGTACCACTCGGAAGCGCCTATTCACTTAGCATGAAACGTTTCAATCTAAAAGCACGCCATGGTGCCCCGAAAGTTCTCCGGTCCGTTCCGTCCAAAATCCTGCCCTACCAAGAGAGACTCCAGCACTGCCGTGCTATGGAAAAACGCCGTATGAGCCTTCGGACGTTGCCAAGTTTCCTCCGTTTAAAACTGCAATTACTGGGAAAATTGTGAACATTATTTTCTCAAATTTTCAGACAATTTTATGCACAATTTAATGATCCCTAATGATCTAACACTGGCTGTTGTCTTCGTATGAGTATACATCCACACTGCCGTATTAAGGAAGAACGCCTTATGAGCCTTCAGACGTTGCCAAGTTTCCTTCGATAAAAACCCAATTTACTGGAAAAATTGTGAATATTTTCCTCCAAAAGTTTCGGACAATTTTGCACGCAATTAAATGTAAAATATCTAAAAATTTCAAAAAAAAATTGTGCATGAATTTTGTCAAAAATACAGGTTTTTTTCTAGGGAAACTTGTCAACTCCCGAATGCTGATATGGCGTTCTTCCTTAGCACGGCGGAGCAACTCTGCGTCAATATTCGTCGTTTTCTGGACGAAGGAATGTAACTACATTTCAATGTTGCCAAATTTCCCCTTACAAATCGCATTTTCACCAGAAAAATCTCAATCATTCTAAACGAAAATTTTACATATTTTTCTTCTGATCTCACGCAGTACTCAGAGAAGTTCTGGAAGAAAACTGAACGCTCATATTCTTGTAAAAAATGTAATTATTTGAGTCAATTTTGCAACCTTGGTATGGATCTGGGTTCCTTCGTTCGGAGAACGACGTACAGTCGGGTGATGCTTCGATAACTTTATCTTACCCCGTAATATTACTCGAAAAAAACGAAGGCAAACCGAAATAAATTTTGGTCAACTTTCGGTGCATGTTCCTTGAAAAGTGTCTCACATTCACGCCTGAAGTTTTCCACGTATGCAAACAGCCTTACATTATGTTCATCAATATCTCAAGATCACGCAGTCAGTATAAACCGAAAATGATCCAACGACCAGCCTATCAATTTTTAGGGGCTGATGGACTAGAAAATGGATTGGTGACGTCATTCCCAGTATAAGTATATATTAGCTGCGTGCGACCTTGAGAATTGACATGAATATTGATAGTACAACTAGGCTGATTTGTTCGGTGAAATGGTAAATTTCGAAGAGAGGAAATAATGATTGCTGGGATTTGGAAGGTGTGAATTGGAGGAGATGTGATTGATTTGGAGGTTGTGCAGTTAGTGAGTTTAAAATAAAATGCAAGGGTGTGGTGTATAAAGTAGTAAAAAGGTGCACGTGAAGTAGACTCAGGGTAATATCTATTGAAAAATACACTAGGGGATCCGCCCCCTGGCCGCTATGCGGCCTAAACCCCCCCCCCCCCNGGGGCGCTTCGCGGGCCTTTGAAAGCTGCTTCGCGGCCAGCGAAATCGTCGAAATCGCCCGTTGGCGGTTAATGAGCAAATAATTATAACTGAATAATAACAAAATGATGTTCCAAAGATTACATTATTGGGGTATCCCACGAGTTACACGTTTACGCTAATTCTGCACCTCTTTTGATGACGTCAATTAATAAGATACAAATTCCAATTTTTAGGGATCTACCAGACACGATACGGCAAGGACTCAAATGTTGGGCTAAACTATGCGGATGCAACTCAGAGATTGCAAGGTACACATATTTAGTTACTTTTCATGAAACCAATCTTAACAACGTATCAAGTTTTCTTCAGTCACACAGAGTTCAGTAGGTCAAAATTCTAAACATACGGCCAATTACAATTTCCAGTTTTTCTCCCACCAGCGAGAAACAGAATCAGTCACTTCGAAGTCACCCTGTATCGACTGAATAGCGCACAAGAATCGACATAAACTATATTGCTCATAATTCAGAGACAACCTGTGCCAGTTGTACAAATGCCCAATTCCAAAGCCGCTCTTGCGACGCTGAGCGAGGAACGTTAACTCGCAACGTGCAGCGGGATATTATATTCACATTTATACCGGTTTTCATTTAATATTTGAAGTTCATGTGCTCACCTTTCGTTATCCTTTTTCCAATCCTGCATCTCCTTCCTCCGGACTCGTTGATTCACTTTTGTCGTCTACCTTTTATCGTCACTCCACAGGCAGAAGAGCATAACAACCCATCGGAGTGAGCTCTGTCGTCCGTTTAACTTAATGTTTTTCGGGACTCACGTAAAAAGAGTTTCATGTGTTTACATAAAGCGTCGTTTATAATACGACAGGCTTTGCACACACCACGTATATTTCATCAGCCTCTCTCTACCTCCCGAGACTCCGCAAATACTCGCAATTTTTCCATTCTTAAAATGAAAATGAATATTGTCAGCTTACTTTTCAAACGTCTTTTCATCGCTGAAGATTGTATGCATCACTTTGGTACTGACTGTGTGCACGCACTTGATGCCAAAATAATATCGATGGCTAGAGTGCAAAACTACGGACCTCTATTGTGGTGTTTCAAAATTTCCATTCCTCTCTCATTTTTTTCATACGTTTCATTTGCCACCATGCTAATAACAGAAAATGAAAACTCAGTTCAGTAAGCGAGTTCCTCAGTAGTTATGGAAATAACTGTGGTAGTTACCCTAATAATCTAACACTGGCTGGTGTCCTAGTATGTGTACGTCGATGGCTAAAGTACGAAAACACGTATCTTCATTGCAATGTTCCAAAATTGACGCTCCTCTTGTATTTTTTTCGAGGAGAAACAAGCCGACTTCATACCTTAAAGTTTTTACAAAATTTTCTGCTAACGGAGAATAATAATCAAGGACATTTTCAAGACATTATGTTGGCTAGTTTTCCAAGGAGACAATATAAGTGACAGGATGTCTACCATAGGCGGTTCTACGGGGGTGCCAGTGGGTGCCGGGCACCCCCAAGCAAAAATTAAGTACGGTTATCGGAACCGTGAAATTACTGCTTTCCCTGGTAAAAATTGGCAGTAAAATCTGTGTTCCAAAATACCATTGACCTAAGCCGGCTGTAAGATTTCCAATAGCTTCTGTAGCCGGCTGTACAATTTCTTATAGCCTTTTATAGCCGATGGCGATTAAGCAACAGCCGGACGATAAAGTTTATGCTAAACGTTGGATACTAGGACTTAGTTAGTTTTTGGACTACCGCTCGCTTTTATCGCCTTAGTATCTTGATTTATTTTGCGAGGAAAGCTCCGTACTTTTGAAGGATGCCTGTCATTCTTAATATGTTGGAGCACCTTCTTATGATACTGTGCAATACCTCTGGTGTGAAATAGTTGCTTCAGACGCCGTGGCACGCTGCTGCGCGACGGACGGGCAGAGAGCGCGAAACGCGCATTGGCGCCTACAAACCTAACAGGGATACTTCACGCATTGCGAAATGCGTGAAATATCCCTGTTAGGTTTGTAGGCGCCAATGCGTCGCCGCTCCGCTTTTGTGTTACGCTCTAATATTTAATTTCGCGGAGTCAGCGTTTTTCAACTCATGATTTTGGAATGTTTGCACCCTCTGTATGGATTATTCTCATTTTAATTGATGAAAAAAATATGTTTTAAAGGAAAATATAAAGTGTGTTTTGTAAATATTAAGGTAGTTCCGTATCAATCTTAATGATTTCCAAAGCACACGAATTTCTACACAATTTCTTTTAGCCTTTTATAGCCAATGGCGATAATGTGTGAAGCTCGGCGATAGGAACTATAGCCCGACTGTATACTTTGTTATAGCTTCGTATAGCCCGGCTATATGATTTGCTCAGCTTTCTACAGTCAGCTACATGATTTTCAATAGCCTTCTTTAGTCGTCTATAAGAACTCCTATGGTATTTTGAAATGCAGCTCCTATCGCCAATTTTTACCAGGGTTTAAAGATTCTATATTCGCCCACACTGAGAAAAAATCCCAGCAATCAATTGAAAATGTTTTTAACAGAATAAATATTGATAGCCGTGTTTTACAAAGATTCTACTGTTTTTTTATGGTAAGATTGTAGTTTTGATGGAAAGTTTTGCTAAAAATTTTCTACTTTGAATTTATAGATATTTAAGTAGAAAGGGAGGAGAGAGAAAGAGAAAGGAGGGTAGGAAAGGGATAAAACTTGAGGGCCGAAACTTAGGCCTCCCCTGAGCGACCGTCCCCTTTGGGGCCGGTCTCCGACATTTTCCACCTCTGGGCACCCCCAAGCATGAAGGCCTAGAACCGCCTGTGATGTCTACAACGTCGTAAACGAAGATAAATGGTATCGCACTTTGATCAACGATATAACTGCAACATTGCTGTACTGTTCAGTTGACCACCGGACAAAGTAAAGAATCAAACATCCAAGTTGACGTGAAATACGGTGAACAAATAAAAAATTTCTAAAAGTAACTCGAAAAGTTACCTCATGTAAGGTCACATGTTACCTACCTACATTTTGCTTATACTTCAGAAACCAAAGTCTCACATCGAATTGGGAACTTCCTGTATTTCAATTCGCTTAGCCAACAAAACCATTTACTTAGTATGCGGGGTTCCCCTTGAAAATTTTACAACCATGCATCCAAAGAGGAGGGAAATTTCATGGTACCCAACTTTGACCATCCGCCAAGCGATAAGTTTGTTTAAAGTGGTTAGGTTGACCTATGTTGTTTTGGTTTCATCGCGCATGGAATTTTTGAGTTGCATGACTCATTTTGACGTATAAAAACACAAATCACTCTTTGATCTTTGGATCACTCAGAGTTTAACTTAAATTTCAATAGGTCATCGTATTGTGAAGTTTTGTTGTGGAATAGTTTTTCGCACAACACGGGGCAACAGTGTTCGTCAGAGTGTGTGCTGAGTGGGTAGCGGGTAATATTGATGGGTTGCCTGTGGCCTGGGGGACCTGTGCCGCACAGTGTAATGACCCTATGAGAGAATAGACCACTAGACAAGGTACGAATTCAAGCATTCTGATACATGTTTCTTAACCAGAATTTCACGTAGAACACGATTTGCGCAACGAAAACTAATGAAACAAACTCCAAACGAAAATATTGACGTTTTTATGTCACATTGGTTACGAGGGATTTGAACTGCCCGCTCACAAGAAACTCAAAGCTCAACGTGAGTCAAATCGCGCACTACAACGGTTTCAACAAGCTTCTCAATCGAGTAATGTTCATTTCCCTTCATGTGTTGTTCAAACTATAAGCAATTTGCTACAGCTGAACCAAAGCGTCAAGATTGAGGTTGTCAGATTTTTATATCGCAGAGACTGTCATGATAACGTTTAGCGCGCGATGTGAATCACGTAGAGCATTGAGTTTTCATGAGCGGTGGTTTCAATTCACGCGCCGAGAATCATTAAATATCTTTGGAAGGAGTTGATTTCGGTAATTTTCGTTATGCGCGTCGTATTTTACGTGAAATTTTGGTTAAGAATCATGTATCAGAATGCTGAAATTCGTACCTTGTCTAGTGGTCCATTGGACGAAATTCAAAAATAGGTCGTATTTAGCAGTAGAAGTCCTTTCTTCCCCTCGAGGAAGGAAGGAGGGGTGGGGCGGAACTATCCACCCGATTAAAGCGGTTGGCAGAATTCAACAATCATTTTCACTGAGAGATTTTTTTTTCATGACCTGCTATGTTTGACCTGTGATGTATGTGCCATCCTCCAGGATTTCGAAATTAGGTTATTTAGGTACTGACTAGAGGAAAAAAGGAGAAACTGTGGCGCTAATTTTGCCGCAAAATCGAAAAAATGCCTCGAATTTGGCTCTGTAGGGATCTGTTCATCAGTGATTATTTTTTTTTCGAAGGGAGCGTTCCTGTTGATCCACACGATAATTTGAAAGATGGTTGTAAGAACTGAGAATTCGGGTAGACAAATGGGTATACATCAACTGGTAGGTCAACTTGCACTGGAAAAAAAGGTTTGATCTCATGAGCAGTCTCATGATCTCACGAGTTCGATATCCAATATAGATCGGTTTGTTCATACGAACTTTTGGTTTGCCAAATCGAGTGTTCATGCTGTCAAAATGGTCCCATGAGAACCCTTGGAATATTCTCATGGTAGCCCGTAAGAAATTGGCCCAGATTACCTTAGGGATAAACAATCAAGAACCAAGGTCCATGTGGTAGCCCTGAGGGTTCCTTTAGGTCATTTGGCTGCCCAAAGGGTTTCTCATGAATTCCCAATGGGGACCCAACGGAATCTTATGGGCCCCTATGCCCATTTGTCTGTTTTGATAGGGTGGCTCATGAGATCGAACTCTTCGATCGAGCCAAACTGTTTTGAAAAGTTCGGTCACACGAATCGAGCGCTCGACCCTACGAACTGGAGTTTCGTGCGGACAAACCTAACATTTTCGGTGATTATGGAACACCAAACACTGGAAAAAAACACATTGGATGTCCAAATTCTTCAAAACATCGACAAGAAAAATACTCTTGATTCAATCGGATTTTTGCCTAAATCAAGAACCAAGCCTCTTAATTTGAGCGGATTTCCTTTTGATTTAAGCTTAAATCTGATTGAATCAAGAGTATTTTTTCTTGTCAATGTTTTCAAGAGTCTGGACTCTAGATCCAATGTGTTGTTTTTTTTTTTTTTCCAGTGAACGTTTGGCTCAAACGATCGAACCTTTTTTTCGGAACCTTTTCTCAACGTTGACGTTCCTGTTGCTCCAAACGATGGTATTTCTCTGTGCAAAAGGAGACATAATCGACTTATGATCTTTCGTTTTGGCGTTGGTGTGATCGCACTGTGCGGCGCGCGGACACGGCATGGGATCATTGGACTCTACTTTCACTATTCACGACCGTTGGCGCGGCGCGGCGGCCGGCGCTGCTGCGGCTCCATGCGGCGTCTCGACGCCACGCGACGCGTTCGTACATTCTGTTTGTCAACCAAACTAGTTCTGGGACATCTGGGTCTCGGCTCCAGCACCAAGTTGCCGCCTTTCCCGCCGACCTCAGTGCATAAAACTATCCGCAAACTCCCGACCATGTCACACGTGAGGAAGAGGATCAGATTATTCCTGGGAATTTGATCACAGGAACAATGTCCGGAATTCCCGGGACGATTCTGGGGGCTCTCATCAAAATGTAAAATCTCGCATTTTGGGGTATACTGTGTAGCCGCAATACAGATTAAAAATATTTGCGGTAGGTCTGATTCAAACGCGGAGGGTATGGAATCGATCGATATGCTTCGATCGAGAACTAACAACAATAATCGATCGACGTGAAACGGTCAACACCGATACGATCGACAAAAAACTGCATGATTTTTCAGATTCATGTCGATTCGATTGACATGAATCGATCGGCAACCGTGAATTGATTGACAAACCAGTGAATCGACCATCAGATCCGTAAGTCGATCGACAGATCCTAGAATTGATCGACAAACCCGGGGGTCGATCGAATTATGTCGATGGAATCGGTGTCGATTGGATCAGCGAACCACGCCAGTGGGTTCATTTTTTGATTGATGCATATCGATCGAATCGACACAGGCTTTTTTTTAATAATTTGTCAATCGAATCGGTGTCCATCTATTCACGTCGATCGGATTCATACCCTTCTTTGTGCAGACACAATAATTTTAGAAATCCCGCAACGCGCACTACAATCTTCCCAGCAGTGTAAAAGCCATGTTCGCAAGTCAACGCTCAGATTTGCGTAATGATGACTGATGACCAGAATGTTGAGAGACATTGATTAGCAAACCATGAGAGTGTTCGCCCCTACATTCACTTCACCAGTCATCATCAGGCAAATTACATGCTCCTCATCAATCATCACCATTCTGCAAACAACAGAACTTTTTTTTGGCCTCGCCAAATTTTTCGTGCGGGATCTCTTAAATGTAGTATCTCTCGGTGCGTCAAACCAAATTCAAGGATGTTAGGTTTTGTTGCAAGTCAGCTCGCAAGACCAGTTAGGTACTTTTATATCGCACGTTGTAGAAAAGATTTGAATATGTTTCACCAAAACATGTTTAGGTCGCGATATAAGTTTCGAAAACATTTCTAATATGGTTATAAAACATGAACATGTCATCCCTTGAAAGGTGTCCATGAAAGATTGATTAGGAACGAACTTGAAAACATTTTATACATATGTGTCTCAGTTGTTTCGATAGAAATACATGCTGTGTCAGGCAGCATTAGCCTATTCACCTCCAATTTTTGAAGGTTGTTGCATATCGCACGGAACCGTCAATAAACGGGATTATATTGGAAATTTGAAGTTTTGATAAACACCCTCCCTCGATAATGGATTTTTCTGCGTTAATAAAGATAATTACGGTTGCAATCGCTGATAGAGATAAATTCTAATTTGATTTGATGCAGGGAGCATTTTACTACGTGTTGTGTAAAAAGAATAAAAAACCCTATGATTCTATCAATACTTTGGAGCTTTACAAAATTGAAGAGAAGATTCTTCCATACTTGATCCAAATAAATGAATCATCCAAAGTCCATTTGCTCAGAATAGTAAATGAAAATTTGGTCGAGAGAAAAAAGCACCGAACAAGACTCGGTTTATTCCGCTAATCCCTTCAGTAATTCGGTCACCACTGTAATTGCAGTAAATATCTTTATTTACTCGTATTACCTCAGACTGTTATCGGACTGTTGTTTTCAAACTCGCCGTTACATCACACGTCGCGTCTTAGCTGTAATTTGTAAACAAGGCCCAGGGAAAATAAATTGAGGTAAACAAAGCACGACTCGTCAAAATAACATGAGAGCAAGAGAGCACTTATAAATTTACATTTTGATATGAATACCCTCTTGAAGAACGTTCTCACGTATTTTTATTCCGGCTTCAATCGGTAAGTTTGGCACTTGAGTCACGTAGTAGAATGAAACTCATGTCCACCTCTTTTTTCTAGGCCCGCTTGTTTAATTATCGCGCGCTCTTAGGCTTAGCTTTATTACGTGTCCCGTCGTGCGCCGCACGGTGGATCGAGTCAGTGGGGGAGGTTGGACAAAGTTTGGAAACTTTTAACGCTTATAACTCCGTTTATACAAAACTCTAAAATTGGCTGCATTGGTTTTTTCGAAGAACTATCTTCTAAAAGCAACCCTTGAAATTTAAAATGTGACGAAATAAACATCAAAATTTGCAGTTTTAGTCAAAAATTTCATGTCCGACCTCTCTAATTGACTCGATTTACTGTGCGCCGCGCCACAAGAGAAGTGAATGCACTCACTCTGCCGTCCTGCGGAAGACAACAGTATGGGCATTTCAACTTAAGCCACACTGCCCCGTATCTTCATGGGTATCAGGGCTCACACTATGATGCACTTACTGCTGTCTGGCACAATGACACAGTGCGATAAAGCTTTCTTCCTTCTGTTTTCACATCTCCCTTATTCAGGAAAAAATCCCATGACTTCAGAGAAAATCACATATAGATACGCTTTTTTTGCTCAGCTTGGCAGTAGCTTCCACCTCTCATTGTGCTTCTTTATCGTCTTTGTTCATTCGTAAATAATAATAAGCGTTCGATTGTTCCGAACTCACAAACAATATTATATACAAGAATTTAAATCTATGTTATCTGTGCAAGTCTATGATAATTTGTGGGTTTGTTGAAGTCATGCCACCTACACAGAATAGAAAAAAAAATGAAAAATGAATGTGGAATTTTTGAGCGATGACTCAGATGAGGAATTAGATAACCATTTTCAACAATGATGAGTGTCGTAATTCTTACGTGCGTTCTAATCTTCACATAGAACCTAATTTTTGCGAGAATCTAATCCGTAGAAATTTGAAATAAAACCAGTAAAAGTCTTTGAAAATCTTTTTTTTCTTACATGATTTTGTAATAACATTATCAGTTAGTGAATTTTCTACCAGGTCGCATTTCACCTCTTATTTCCTTTCCTTTCTTTTTTTTTCTTTTTTTTAAGTTATTTTGTTATTTGTTTCAGGTACTATCGATAGCCGTGCTGATTTTTTTAGAATACAAAAACATCAGAAACCATTATGTACCGTAAGAAAGAATGTATCCTCATCTCAAGGTAGTTACTTTCATTTAAAATAAACCATTGATATTACCACAAATCTTTATCAATCATCGGACAATTGTACGGTTCAAATATTGCAGAGTTTTACAATTAAAAAATACATTCTGATGACGACATGACAGTATGACGGAAGACTCTTTGATATCCTTTTTACAGTAAACGTCTAAAAATTTGCTACAGAGCATCCTCAGTTTGAAAATATCGTATACCTGCGTGCCTTTCAGTCCCAGCGAATGCCTCTTATATACTGCGTAACGATAAAATATTCAGGATTCCTGACCGAAGTCCAGAGTTTATTGCACATTCTTTTCACGCGTGTATTTATTTTTAATCAACTTTAAAAGGGGGAAAGGGATGAAAAGAAGAGTGGGGAGAGCAACAAAGGATAGTGAAGAAAGGTAAAATATTGACAAAGAATATAACAAACACGTCAAACTTTGAGGGAGACTGAGGCTTCAAACGCTAAGAGGGGCCCTAATTCCTGTTAATATCCAACTAATTAAAACAGTTAGACACGATTTGTACGAGAGCGAAAAGCCCGGCCTGCGCGTAAGGAAGAGGGAAGAAAAAAACTATTGTCTTGACATGACCCAAATGCGCATCCCTCAAGACTCACCCCTGAGGGCACACAATATGCACTCCAGAATGAAAGATAAACACGAACACGGTGTCAGGTAAGCGCGAGGCTTAAGCACGAAGAGCGATGAGACTCCGCTGGGAATCAAAGACTTTACTCATATGATAATTAACTCGATTCTCGTTTTATTTTGGTAGTACCTGTCGTTGTTTATCAAACCGTGTAAGTTTCCTCTTTTTACGAGCGAGCCGTGATGGAAAGTTCCATTCACTCGAGAAGAGGGATGACTTTTTGTGACGTTTAATACATGACCTTTACCACCTCTCCCCGGTTACATTTCAATGATGACTTCTTTACAAAATCCTCCGGTGGAACGTCCAGCGGGTGTCGAATAACCCGTCACTTTGTCACTTTTTTTTAGGGGATCTTGAATTTCGGCTCCGCAGAACGGCCACGTACTCAACCGTCAGTTCAAACCTAACAAGTTCGTTTTTTGATGATCCCAGGGGTCCATAGGAGTGCTTTCATATCGGGGCTCACTAGAAAGAAATATCCTAGGCTTGCATCGGCTGATCCAGTTATACGATTCTTTTACCTCTTTGGCCTTCCGCCCGGTTTTTATTGTTTGTCTTGCGATCAGTATCGCAGACTTCAAAAATAAATCTAATTCAATTTCAGTGGGCTCGTTTTGAACGGAGAGGAGAATTTTGGCTGTACGGGAGCAGTCCAAACATGTTCCTACAGTTTTCGATGGAGATTTCGACCGTGCGACCGTCAATCGTCGTAGCAGTACAACCGCATGTTAGCTACACTACCGTGCTAAGGAAGAACGCCGTATGAACATTCGAGAGTTACCTAAGTTCCTTCGATAAAATGCTTATTTTTTGGTAAATTTATGAATAAATTGCCTTGAAATTTTCAGGAAATTTAGGTGAAATTGCGAACAAAAGTATCTGAATAATTGGAAGAAAAATATTTATAAATGTTCCCAAAAATTCGTGATTTACCCAAGGAAATTTGGCAACGACTGAAGGTTCACACGATGTTTATCCCTAGCATGGCAGTACAGCGCAATAGTTTAAGCTTCAGTGTTGTGCGAAAGCTGTGATGGCTGTAGCATAAGATTCACGATACTAGCGCTGAAAGTTTGAAGTGAGAATATCGGTAGCTCGCGCGGACCTACCTAAGTTCTAGAGTTCTACCGACTTTAATTTTTCTACGTGAACTTTTAAGAGTAAGTGAAAGGAGGAGGAAGGACAGGACAGCCTAGAAATGCAACCTGTGGTTGATTTTAGAACTAAATTGAAGTTCTGACACGAACTTACGACTATAATCTGATGAGACGTACCCTGAAACTTGTTCCGAAATTGATTTCAAAAATCAATCGCGGTTCGCTCCCTTTGGTTTTCATTTTTATATTTGGACTAGTGGTGAGGCGTGAATGGTCGATTATCGATCTTTCCACATAGGAAGTTATGGTGAAGAATCGATTATTGACAAGGTGTTCGTTGCGAACCTTAATGGAGATGTTGCATGTGTGAGGAATTTGCGATTTGACTATAGATTATTATGTAAAAGTTCGCGAGAAACACGATGGTGCCACTGGTTTTCTCTGAAATCATCTCCCAAGCTCAAAAAAGCTCTCAAGTTGAGGCCCAAATGGAGGGGATATCCCACGCTATCCTGAGAGTCCACGTCTACATCAAGACAAACTCTCCATGCAAAGATAGAGAGCAAATACATTGACAGGGCTGCCACTTTATTTGGGGACTCTAAAACTGAAAACACGGCATCACTGCTAATGTATGTACACCCTATCTTTGCATGGAGAGTTTGTCTTGATGTAGAGATGGACTCTCAGGATAGCGTGGGATATTCCCTCCATGTTGGCCTCAACTTGAGAATTTTTTTTGAGCTTGGGAGTTGATTTCAGAGAAAACCAGTGGCACCATCGTGTTTCTCGCGAACTTTTACGTAGGAATCTATAGTCAAATCGCAAATTCCACACACATGCAACATCTCCATTCAGCTTTTTCTGTGTAACGTTCTTATCCTCATTAACATCGCATCACATTTCGCTACGTTATTAAGCCTTCGTCAATTCTTTTCAGACCTTCCGCTTGGAGCTTTCTATCTGCTATCTGCAGCACTCCTCTCGCTGACGCTGACAACGCGGCGTTCCCGTTCTATTCCCGGATAACAGAGCAAGAACGGAGCCGGGATCCCGGGAAGCCGGGTTGTAAATCCAAATCCCGGATGCTCATTTGGTTTACATGAGCGGGTCTTTTCTTACAGCGCGGCGCAGCGCTCGATCCCCGTCGCAGGGCACACGTCCTCGCCCTTCGACCAAAAGCGCGCAACTCCATCCCCTCGTAAGATCCGAAAAGCACAGAGTCAAACGGGACGACAGGATCGATCTTAAAATCCAGTTACGCTCTTTTGATAGTGGGCGACGTAATCAAGAAGAATGTAATTTTTCAACGGAGTCAGGAGCGCTAACCTGGCTATTGTCGACGCGGTGGGGGGACAGGTGACAATTTGTGCGTGAACGAATGGAGCGAAAAGGATTTACGGCTAATACGAAAAAACGGGCGTGATTTCGTGATACCCACCCGAGAGACTTCCGTTTCATTTAGTTTTTGTTTCAGCGAGGAGCTTCCGGTCGTGGCTCCGGCTCAGTCAGTTCGTCTGAAACCACGGTTTTTTGCGGGGGGATTCAGAGTGGTCGCAAAAATAGACCAATGGCCGAGTGGGAAAGGGAGCGACGTACCACATGTTTCATCATCCAAAATTCATGCAGAATACTTTTGAAGGAATTGAAAATTTTTAAAATCCATTCGTAGGTGAGAAATTGGTGTAACTCACTTCAAAATCTCAATTCAAAGTTCGCGGTCCTGGAAGAGGAGGAAGAAGAAGATGAAGAAGAAGGGGAAGAATGGGAATAAAAAGGAGGAGAATTAGGAGAGGAAGAGGAAGCAAAAGGAATAAAAAACGAAAGCAAAGAAAGAAATTAAAAATGTGAGGAAGATGTGAATGAAAAAACTCAAATTCAACGGGTGTCAAACAGGCAGTGCATGTTTTTCGGACGAGAACGAAATGAGAGTAAACGTGGGAAAAAATGGTGATTGAAGCTTTAAGCTATAAAGCATACCTTATCAGCGTACAGCTTATGCTTAGGTACAGGGCCGGAATAAGGGGATGGCCACATGGGCCGCGGCCCATGGCGGAAAATTTAGGGGGAGGCAAATTTTGCAATTTTTTAAATGTGGGTGTAAAAAAAAATCGGATTCAGAAAAAAAACTTATCAATAAGAAAAGGAAACAAAATCTCTTTTTCCTGAGAGTATAGTAATTTCTAATTTTGTCGTTTTTCGGTGATACAAGAGCCAGCATCTTTAATTAGTCGAGTTAAGAGAGGAACTAAACACGCAATTTTGCCTGGAGCTCAGCGCAGACAGGAATAATGACGAGGACTTGAGATGAAAAAGACAAGCCCTCGGCGCGGCGCGCGGCCGTCAGCATGTAACACATATTAGCGCCTACAAGACTGCATGAATACTTCACCCACCGCTCCAAACACAATGCGGTCACGCGGTCAGGAGCGGTTGGCGTGAAACGCATAGCGCCTACAAGACTGCAGGAATACTTCACGCATTGTGCCAAACACAGTGCGATCAGCGCGGCGCGGCGCAGCAGCGGAAGTTAAAATTATTAAACCACATTTATGTTTGTTCTTTCATAATTTTTTGGTTCATTTCTTATAAATGGAGGATCTTGTCCACACAGCGATAGGTTTACGGAACTTAACTTTCGCGTCAAGTTCCGTGAAATTTTGCTAGTAGTGTTGACAGGGCTTTTGCAAAAAAATGTATTAACCACAAGTGGGTAAACGCGTCTTATGCACCCCTCCCCGCCTCCTTCTCCGGCACGTTCACTTGATGCTTTTTTTGATGTTTCAAAACGAATGAGAAGGGGGCGGCAAAATACAGGCGGCCCATGGGCGGCAAGTAGGTAAATCCGGCCCTGCTTAGGTATAAGCTTTAAGCTATAAGCTGTGAATATGAGCTTTAAGCTCATCCGGAAGCATATCACTCTTTGTAAACAATTAAAAATCCACAAAGAATACCCAGTAAAAAATACTTTTTCTTGAAGTTGGTCTATTAAATTTCAACTTTGCGAAGAGATCAAACTTCAATCATGGGTACTTTTCTCCGTCCCGAGTTCGTGATTTCCTTCCGTTAAACGTTATCCACATAATTCATTTTATGCAAACTTATTTGCTCGGCAAATTATTGTTAGCCTTTGTTTTAAAAGATCATCTGAAAGATAAGCACTGGAACTAATTGAATTGTTTTGAGTGAAATCTTACTTCTCAAAGACATCCTCAACATCTAGGATTTTCGAGAATCTTTGGCAAGAGGCCGCCGCGATGCTGCACTCCCGCCGGACGGCGATAC